GTGAGTTTTCGATTGCTTATCTACAAGGGTTCGTAGTCGTTCACGGTCATGGTTTGGTCGTCAGGGGGGTCAAGGAATGAATGATCCATAATTGTATGCTATTCACTCTTCTGCTAGACTTTAGATTCGCAGACCATGCTCATTGCGTTGAACGTTGTTATTGCCATTTTGTCATCGTCATCAGAGGCTAACGGAGGTTAAACAGCAGGAAAACCCAAAATTGTAGTCTGACTTTAAAATGGGAATTAAATTGTTCATCTTGCTGCGAGGAAAATAATCTGTGTTAGCAGGCCTGCTTCAACGATGGGTTTCCAAATTTGTATTTTCCTCAAAACTCACCTTTGGCCAGAAGAAAGTTTTCACGCGGGCAAATTATGAAATTTTCTGCGATCTGTTTTTGAGCTGGTTTATTCAACGAGGCCGGACGCCGATCTCTGAATTCATCATGTAAAATATACAGCACCCGCGATTAGTATTGGACTGAGTGCTTCATTGTCTGTAGAGAGAAAGCTAGATCAATTTACGGTAAACTGCTTTATTCATCATTTCTCTGAGCAAGAAACAAAAATTTTTATCCCTTAAAATTATGTATTTTTAGGTTCTTCATTTGCTTGAAAGGAACGCTTTTCTGTTGTATCTTTTCTTGAGAAAATACACCGCAATTGCATAGAAATGGGTTAAGAAGGAAACTTTTGGAGGAACCCATAGAAATGGAGGAAGGTGGTGGAATGGTGAAGGAACCCATAGAAATGGGTTAAGAAGGAAGTCGGAATTTATTTTTCGTTCATTTATTTTTGTCCCTTCACATTCATCTCAGTGTTTTTCAATCTCATTTTTTCCCTTTTTCTTGTCTCTTCTTTTCCTCTTTTCTAAACTGCTCCCCTTATTCATATCCATTTCTTTACACGTCGATGTCAACTTTGATTTTGCCTTTAACCTCTTCCTCAGTCAACTTCATCAATCTAACTTATACGTCACGTGTTTTTAAAACCGTCAGGTAAACAGACATCTCGTTGATTGGAGAGAAGCTCCTTTAAATAACATATAAGCATAACTTGCTCCGTAATCAGTTTGGTGATGTTTGATTTTGTTGCAAAGTCTTCTTGTTCTTACGTTGACATAAATTTTTTGATGCTCGTCGTCTAACCTGAGTAGTTATGCATTTAAGGATGCCTGGCTAACACGTTTCACATAGCATTGCAAGTTCACTATATATTCTTCTTGTCGATTTTAGAGAAACAGAGCAGTGAAATAAAATGTCTTCATGAATGCCATGGACACGAAATGATGGAACAATCTGAATTAATTTTGGCGACACATTAATAAAGTATGATGCAATGGCTTGTCTGACCTGATCAGCGGATGAGCCAAAAAGCATTGTACTATTCAGCTAACCCAAAAAATTAAATGAGCTACCTGTT